TGATGATATTTTTAAATTGTATGCTATTAAAAATTATCGTTAATCAAAATTATAGTTAGTATTTTTCTTTATTGTGAACATTTGCAATCATTAGAATTTCTTGATAATATCATAAAAGTAGTGCTGGCAAAAAGGAATCTATATATTTTCAGGGTCTAAAGCGGGTCAACGGAGGGTTTTAACTAAACCCTACTTTGAAGCTTTAGCAGGAAAAAAGGAAATTTCGGACATATTGTAGCGCCAAAGTAGGTGCTATTATATACATACGATACAATGCATAACATCTACTTTGACTCTCTTATGCCTACCTCAAAATAAAGGATTAAGGTTCAATATAGGTGCTAAATTTCAACTCGGGCAAGGATCATCTTAAACGGTCCGTCAGAAATGTGTATCAAAAAATTAAAAATGACACATGTGTCAACGGCAGTGAGTGGGACTCGACTGACTCGATTATTTGTATTTTTATTAATAGAATTTTGTTACGAAGATGTTTGATGTAAAAACTAGAGAAAGAAAGAGAATTGTGAACAGAAATAACACCTGGTCAAAGCTTCATTAAAAGAGTGACTATAATTCTCAGATACTTGGTATTAATATATACCATATATATGACATGAAATGCGCAGAAATAATTTACGAAATATACGTTCGGTTAGTATGACGTGTAATAATAAATAAACGCTACTGAATATTTTATTACGGGCTTTCAAATGCGGGGACGGATGAGAGATGGTCGAGATTTACAAAACAGACGCACGTCATGTCGTGTGACATTTAAAAAGAAATATCAAACAGCTTCGAATATCTTCTAATTCCGAGAACGACAGTAATGTGATTCCGTGGAAGAAGGACGGAAAGCTAGAAGCGATAAATCTTATCAAATTTGGAGTCGTCCTTACGCCGTGGTCAGCACATGGCCGAGATCTCGATATCTTTTATCCGATGCCTTCCTGAATGCGGTTGATCAAAATCCGCTTTTCCGCTTTGCCGACGCGTCACGTTATCGCGAAAACTCCCGTCGGCCGACAAAAATCTCGCCGTGCTGCTCGGAACGTCTATCCGATAATGAAAAACCATAGAAATGAAAAAGAACATAAGAAAAAAAAAAACCGCCGACGATAGCCATTCGAATGTGAAATTCGTCCGATCCATCGATTTTTTTTCCTCGTTACGTCACGCGAGAGAAAAGAAAAACAAGGGCTGACATTTGACGAGCGGAAAAAGTTGTTAAATAACTAATTATGCGATGGACAGCGGGAATACATTTTCGATGAAGAGCACGTGCTCCTGCAAAGTTCAGTCGGATTTAATCCCTGAAATAGACCTGTGTATTATGCAGCCCAATATCGATTTCGCGCTCCGCCTTCCCGTCCGATTTAAAAATACACGCGCAAAAAAATAGCCATATATCGGCCCGGACACAAAAGATTGGGGAAGATCGCGCAGGAGCGCCCGAAACTCTTCGTTCCTGACACGTGGAAATGAATAATTTACCGCCCATTCTATCTCGCCCGACTTCGGAGCGGAGAGGAGCTCCAGCAGCCAGCTTTCTCTTCCCGCCGCGACTTTCCGCGATATTTCGGCTCCGAATGCAACCGACGACGAAAAATAGTTTACACGCGCAGCGCTCGCGAGTTCGCTTCGTGAAATATTGCGGCGGGGGCAGGGCGGGACATCGTTCCGCGCGGAGGGCATTAATATTAACATTGTTCGGAAAGTGTTTTGTAACGCCGAGCGAATCAATATGTCAATTCCTATCAAATGTTTTCCGCAAAATTCTTTCTCGCGTTGTAAAATCTATGAATAATAAAATGAGACAATTAGTATCGCCGAATCCGACGAATGAATTTGCCGGGAGAGCTCGGCGTGCCAGAAAATCTATCTTGAAAGCACCGCGCGAACTCTTTCGGAAAACATATATCGCGCTTTTTAATGTGTGTCGACTGGCAGATCTTACTTCCTGCAGAGACTAACGTTCGTTAACATAAAACTAGTACGTTTTATCTATGTGAGAGAGAGAGAGAGAGAGAGAGAGAGAGATTCCGACAATTGCACCGGAAATACTCCGTTTTCTTAATACTGCTCTCAGTTTTTCGGCACTCCGCGAGATGCCGATAAGATCCGTATTTTTCAAGGGATACAAAGTGCCGCGAGTGTCTTTGGGAAACTCGCAAGTTGCAACTCACGTACAGCGCGCGAATAAATAGTGTTCGGAGTGCTTCTAAATTACGAATGCTAAGAACTACATATGAGCCTTTCAACTGCAGCAAATAAAAAGCAGAGAATTTACAAAAAGCGTGGTAGATTCGGTTTTGGCTTTCAGGAGGCTCGTATATAGCAGTCGAAGCGAAATATTATCAATCGTCTCAAACGTTAGAAAAACATTACGCAGAAAATGCGTCGGGAGTGCATCAGCAGCGCGCTCGTCTGTGCGTCTGCGTCGTGAGATTTTCTACGCGAGCTTTCGTCGCGCTACGAAAAAGCCGGACATGGAAGAGGAGTTGCCTGAATAATCCGTTAAATTACACCGCGCTCGCTGCGCGGTTCTCGACGACGGAAACGAAAACGCGCTTGCCCGACCGAAGAAGACGTAACTCCGCAGGGTTCGCTGATCCTAAGGAAAACTTCGTTTCGCGGGACGACGAAACTCCTCCTGGCGAAACTTTTGTCTTCCCTCTCTTCCTTTTTCTCTCTCTTTGTCCACTCTTTCTCACGCGTGACGTCGGATTGAATCACAACCGATTCGCATCGCTCGTGCCATTAGTCCCGATGAGATAATCGTCACACAGCGCTAATTCGAGCGATGCCTCTAATTGGATGGGCAGCGCAGATAGTTTCGCCATTCTCGCTCGCACAAAAGCCCCGCGGTCCGCATACAACTCATTAAACATTGCGGTTCCGAACAGTAGGTAATAATCGATCGCGAGAATGGTCATTATTTGCGATTCGTGCGCCGCGGCAGTTCCCTGCGACGCGACTCGGTTAATTTTAGCTTCCTCCCTTTATAAGATGAATTCTATCGCCGTATCTTCGGGAAATATGTAATTTCGGAAATTGTGCGCAAAATGTGCAAACACTGATAACGCACTTGTGAGCAGTTTTACCTTTTTGTTGTCCATCCCGGGTGTCGAGCTGGTCACCGGCTGATCGAGCCTGCAACAAAAAATTATTTATCGTTAGGCAAAAGATGTATATAAATTGTACAACGCTTTGAATTATTCTTGTGTCATTTGATTAGAATTATATCAAGCCAAGTCTGACTTTATTGTGAATATTTCGCCAGTACTTCTCTTCATTGTTTATGCTTTACGATATAATGTTTCGCGCTACATTTTTGTACCGGAGTTCCGCCACTTTAAAGACAATAATCTTAATGTTTGTCGAAGTATATCGAGCGATCGTCACTTTCCGCTTCCGTAGCTTCCAGACTAATCTCGACCTCGATTTTCAAACAATACGTACGACGAAGCTATGGCTCGGCGTTTTTCGACACGAGAGCATTGAAAATTTATTGGCCATGTGCCGTCAGAGACCGATCGATATCTCGCCGCGCTAAAAAAAAAGAATCTGAAATGAAAGTTTCATTCGACGAGCTTCCGCACTGGAGAACTAATATTTTATCCAGTAGTGACCGCGTATTGGAATAATGTAATGCTATGTGAAATGCGCATTCTTCCTTTGGAAAACCAGTGGACGTGCATTCGTGAATATGGATTTGTTTCACACAAATTCAATGATAAAATAAGTTAATCATTTCGAGTTGTAGGAATTTTTTTTAAATTTATCTCTTCTCTTTCTTTACTGCAACTCGATTCCTTTGTGAAAGAAAATTATGCTTTTACGTTCATCTGTCTGTTCTAAAAATTAATATAATTATTCGATACATTTGTTCTCCATAAGCTTTCTATGTAAAAAAAAAAAAATCTACTCTAGTATTTGCGCCACGCAAAGATAGACGGAGATGCGCAAAGCGCGTAACGCGCTATCGCTTTTTATTTTAACTGCAGGGCGAAAAAGTGCAGTGTAGTGCGACGTGACGCGGGGTTATTCGTTCGGAAAGTCGCTTCGATAAGTACGAGAGATCGATTTATCGTCCTGAACGATTTTATTCCTCAGGGCGACGAGCACGTAGATCCCATCTGTAGTTTCCGTCCATCGTAGCGTGGCCGAGCGCTGCACGTGACGAGATGTACGCGTGTGAATGGACGCGCACGCGTGCGCATCGATCACCGAGCGCAACAGAAATTCAATGCTCGCCGAATGCTATTTCCATTCTATACATGTCGGCCGATATTAGAACTCGGATCTTTTTATCGTCGATTTGATTTATTTTCCGAAAATCCTAAGAATTGTTATAAATTGATACCATTAAGCTCTCGCCGCGTTTCTGATCGTCGATAATTGAAAGAGATTGAAGAATTTCTCTCTCCCTCCAGCTGTCATTAAAATATAACGAGTGTTAATCTACTATCGTGCCAAGCATAATATTTGACATCCCGTCGATCGCACCTATTTTTAGCTTCTAAACGCGGAATAACAATTGAAATGTTGCAGATTTCCGTTTTTATATAGAAATAAATCTCGTCAATCGGATACGCAATTAACAATGTATCCGGAATACACGTCAAAAAAATAAATAGCGACCTAAGCTTCTAAAATTGTACCATCGAACCTTTTTTGCGCACGCTAATTGCGAGATCGGGCGATCCAACACAGCCACATATAGTCGACTCGAAAACAGTCGATTTATCAAGCCTCGGAAAGCTAAAAGCAACGGGCAATGTATCGGCTTGCCGAAACCGCAGATTCGATTGACCGGTTCTATTTGCCATCCGTTTCCAATTCGACCCATCGAATGCCACCCGCCGATCTCCTTATTCGACATTAGCAATCGTGTTTAGAGGACGATAAGATAATCGAACTGCAGTGGAACGCGCGATGCGTTGTGCCGACGGCGCGCGTCGACGTCAGAATGATTAATGTCATTGACTGCCGTATTCGTCCGGAATGGCGAGCGAAATGGCGTCGAAATGAAATTCTAGACACGGCCCATCGCGTAGCATCTGCCGATCCGCCCGCAAATTCGTGACAGCGCGCGGTCTTTAATGACCGCCCTTAATCGGCACAGAATTGCTCGCTGTAGCGGCTGGTCCAACGAGGAAAGGAAGAAAGATATACCGCGCCGTAAGTTTCGGCTGTAATTAAAAACCGATGCACTAAATCGCACTCGCGCGCTCTAATGAAGTTGTTTCCATTCGCGGAGTCCACCGGAACATTGTTTTTTCTTCCGCGGAAACTTTCTCCTCGGAGAAGACGCGGTTATTGATATTTTTCCTAGCGATTCGTAGCTTCCTTATCAAAACGGCAAGATCGCGATGAAATACAATACAATGTGAGTTCTATGCAAACATCGGGAAATATAAAACAATCTCCTGCGTAATCTCCTCCTCCAATTGCATCGCGTACGTTGCTTCAACGTCCGCGTAACACGGCGACGTAAAATTGGGTCGTCGCGATGCGGCGCGATGCGCCACGATTTAACCCTTTGATGTAGCTCGACGTGTACATTCGTTTGCTCACGGCACGTGGCGAATGCGGCATACGTTTCTGCGCCACGCGATCATATCAGCTGCATTGATCTTTTCAGGCTAGGAATACTTCTTACGGCGGAAACCTGGCGGAGATAGCGAGAATGTAGCGTCGCGATTATCACTTCGTGTTCCATTCGTCACTGTTTGTACGACGAACGCCCGACAAATGATCTCTCCTCGGCTACGAATAATGCAATTTTTGTTCAATTCTGCGACTCCAATTTCAGCATTATACAGATATCGAATCGATATCCGTAAATAGAAATAATACCAATTATTACAATAAATTGGAAAATCTTTGACATAATGGTCTGGATATTTAATGACAGAAATTAAAACGTCGCGACAAAAACAATCGTATAAAATGGTCGTTAGACCTCAATTACAAATAAACGTCAAAGGATTGTAACGTGCTTGAGACACGTCGCGCGAGTGCCGCGAAAAAAAATACTGCGGTGTTCTTTATATTTTTATTGCAGTATTCATATCATAATCATACACCGTGTGTATTTACTGTAATACGACACCGCCCGTGCATCGCACGGCATAATGAAATTAGAGTAGTTATATGTAGTTACATATATATATGCTCGAATGTATGTACGTTGTGAACGTGACAAGGGGAACAAAGTAAAGCAGACAATTAAAAACGCATGCGGCGGTCGGTCCGGCCATTTGAAAATGAGAGTTTAATGCGGTCCACCGAGCTGCACGCTCGCACGTAGATTAAATACACTTTAAACATACGACGGTAATTATGTTATTAAAATGCCGTTACGCGTATTAAGCGTTATTTTCCCGTATCGACACGGCCGCGCTTCGGAGTATCGGGCAAAAGTTCACTCTGTTACGCGACACCGTCGTAATCCTCCTGCGCGACAGCGATCTTTTAAGTTCACCGTGTCACTTGACCCAGAAATTTATATCGGAAGCGTCGAAATCGATATCCTACGGAAATAGATGCGAAGGAGTGTACAGCGAATAATTGAACATCGATAAATCGCTAATAGGCGAACGAGAGAGAGTACGTTACCGGATACATAGCTATATGCACGAGTCGAGTACGGATTTTTTTCACCGATGACCTTGTCGGATGGAGCTTGCAGCATCCGTGGGAAGGTCAGGTAAAATTAGCATGTAGGGATACATATGAACGTAGACCGCCTCGTGCAGAAATTGCTTGAATGAGCAAATCCGGATGCCTCCGAGTGCCGCATATTTTGCTCCGCGCGCGAATGTACAAACAATAAAATAGATATTTCAAGAGAAAACGGACAAATTAATTTAGGGAGCTCATTATTTTAACAATTTACATCCTTCATGAGCAAACGCGCTGGATTTATGCCCTCGCATAAAAACTTTTGGCATCGGGTAATATCTCGTTTAGAAATTACGCATATGTGTGTATGTTTAATTGCAAAAAAATTTATTCGAAATGCGAAGGGAGAAAAAGAGGGAGCAAACGCAAACAAAATCCAATGTCGGAAAATGGGAGATAGCTAAAAAAAGAAAGTATTAACGGATCAAATTAATATAAAAAATTATATTTAAAAAAATGGTGTCAATTTTTATTTTTAAAATTGTAAAGAAAATGTACGCGGAGAATTCGAATGAAACTTATACATTTTCACGTGTGTCTGTCTGCGTTTCTGAAATATGATTTGTGACATTTAGTACTTTTCGCATTAACATTGTTCACGATAAACAAAAAATGAAGCAAATATGTTCGTTATATATTTGTAAAGGGAATTTTATTTGACTGGAGGCCCCCGGAAATGTTAGTTTTTAAACTCTCTTCACGAGAACTCGCAAATATTTTTGCATTCTGCATGAAAGCTTCTCTCGCGTAAACCGATGTGAAGTGCTTGCTTGTCCGTCTCTTCCCGGTTCATATTGGAAGAATGTAAAAGGATCCTTCCATGGCCCCATGAAAGTGCGACGCTTCCCCAGTTTGCTCTCTTCTAGCAATTTGCATGGGCGATGTTGTTCCACCGCTTTTTTATTTAATTTCCCGAAAGTTGACGAAAAGTATTATACAAGTGTACCACTGCGGTAACGAGCGCGTACAAGTGGAACAAACATGGCGAACGACGAGTCTAGGTACTTGCAAGTCCCAATATGCACGGTCTAGTCGATAAAGCTGCCTTCCGCTTCCTTTCCCTTCGTCCTTTCTCCCTTCCCGTTTTCCCCGGCAGCTTTTTCCGCAGCCGCAGTTCGCGGCCTGCTGAAGAAATTTTATTGGCGAACTTTATGATCGCCAGAATCGACTGTTGAATGACTATCGGAAGACAGTCGGGACTGCTCGGAGGACGGCTGACATGAAGTTTATTGGAAGCCGAAGCGAAATGAAGGCCGCGCGCCGAAGCTAATTTATAAGCAAGCCGAGCTTAATAGCGCACGGCAGGATATTAGTCGGAGAATTTATGTTAACTTCCCGACAGATACATCCTGTTGCTTTGTCAAGCTCCCTGCTGAATATTCGCGCAGGAATAAAACTTATCTCGTAGCTTACGAGTCGGCCGAAATATTACACAACGCGCTTCTCTTGAAAGTGATAAAAGA